CGTCAATTTGGTCCTTGTACTTTACACGATGTGTCAATTTGGTCCCTGTAGTTTTAATTTTCTCGATTTTGACAGGGACTAAATTGACACATTGTGAAAAATACAGGGACCAAATTGACACATTGTTTGACTTTCCGTTAAATTAACTTAACAACCGTTATTTATTGGACTAAAATAACACAATCCGTTAAATTAAGGAGCAAAATCGATTAAATTAAAACTACAGGGACCAAATTGACACATCGTGTAAAGTACAAGGACCAAATTGACGCATTATTTGACTTCTATTAAATTAACTTAACTACCGTTATTTATTGGACTAAAATGACACAATCTATTAAATTAAGGGGCAAAATCGAGCAAATTAAAATAACATGAACTAAATTGACACATCGTGCCGATAAAAAAAAATTGACACATTGTGTCAATTACAGGGCCCATTTACATAATTTACCCTTCCAACAATGATATGGCCACATAGTACTTTACTTCTCTATCTTTAAGAAATATCCACATGCCTCCCAATGTGATTTTGGCCAAAAATGCTATGTTATAATTTTTTCTATCCCAAAAAAGGGTGTGCGCGCTACACTGGAATGTTTAGAGTGTAAGGAAGAAAATTTCCTTCTGTTAAAATTAAATATCAATGTGAAAAGACCAAGGTTTTAAATAAGGGAGAATTTCAAAAAAGTATAGTGTAAACAAAATGATTTCAAAATGACAGAAGTGCAAGTGGTTTATGTATAAATTTATACAATAAAAATTTATACTGTCATCATTTTAAAATTAATTTTTTTTACCCTTCACTTTTTTTATATTCTCCCTTTAAATAACGGTGGTAGATACTGTAAAGATAAACTATCAATGGTTCCTAATAGTTGGACTTAATACACATCAAATTGTATTGAAAATAAGTTTCAATAAAATCGTCACTAAAAATTATTTTTTGTGACGATTTTTTACATACGTCACTAAAAATTACAATTAATGACTTTTTTTTTTGTTATGGATTTTATAAATTGTAACTAAAACTTACAATTAATAATATTTTTCTTTGACGAATTTTTCAAATCATCGTTGAAAGTTAAAAATTAGTAACATTTTTTTGTGATGATTTTTTAAACTGTCGCTACAACTTATTATTAGTGATATTTTTTTTGATAATTTTCAAACTGTCGCTGAAAATTAACAATTAGTAACTTTTTTAATTGTATTTGATGAAAAATGACATTAATCATAATAAGAACTATTGAATAATAAGTCCACCTATTAATTAGTATCTTATATCCAAACGTCACCTAATCTCATAACTAAATTTAACGCACTTTGATTTAGAGGTGTTTTGAGAAATTGGTTAAAAGTTAATTTTTTTGATCATTTTAACTTATTTTGTCTTTTTATGAGTAAGTTATATGATAAGTGATATGACCAAAAATGAGTTAAAAATTAGAAATCGACTTTTAACAAGCTTTCCAAAAGAGCACTTAATCGTAGGCTGACCTCACCTTTGTTTGATTACTACTTTAAATTATAATCAATACTACTTTAATTCATAAATAAAATCACTTTAATCCATAATAAAAGCATACAATAGAATATCAAATAATTGGCCTAACCAGGTACATGAATATTGTTATACGCATTAATTGGTATATTAATTAGTATATTTAAGTCTCATTTAGAGACTAAATATTTTAGTTAAAAAGTCAAAAAATTACAGTATTATAATTTGTCACACTATTCTCTCTATTTTTCTATATATTTTTTTATAAAAAATCAAAAAAATTATTAAAATAACATGTTCTCAAACAAGGCCTTAATGTAACTTAATTTTAGAGATTTTGAATTTTTGTAATGAATGAAATTATAATTTTAAAATAATAATATCATATTTATATTAATACATTAATTATTATATAAATTAATACATATAGCACCACCACACATACGGATGCTAAGGCCTAGTTTGGGAAGACTAAATAAGTATACTTTTTGACTTTTTATGAAATATGGGTTGAGAATGAATAGAATCATAATTTTAAAATAATAATATCATATTTATATTAACATATTAATTATTATATCAATGGATACATATAACACCATCACCATTCATATGCTAAATATGAGATCACGATGATTTATCACTCCCATCAGTCATAAGTGGAGATGTGGAAGCTGTGTGGAGACACAATAGTAACAGTTGATTTGACATTGATAATTATTTTATCAAATTATATTTGTATTTTAAAAATAAATAATAAATATAATTTAAAATATAAAATTAAATATAAATACAATTTAATAAAATAATTACTGATATTTATTTAATTAATTAATTAATTTTATAAATACAATTTAATAAAATAATTACTGATATTTAATTAATTAATTAATTAATTTTATTTATTATAAATGTATTCTATTTAATATGTCTAAAAAAATAAATAATTCATATCATCCAAATACGTTTTATTAGCCACACACATCTCTATCTTGAATTAGCCAAGCCAATCACATCTGTCCTGAACCTTCGTTGGAGATGTGAATTGATTTTTAATTTTTTTTGATTAATTTAGCATGGAGTTAAAAAGTTTCGTTTGGGTTAAATTTTTTAATTTTTTTCACTTTTGTAGTAAAAAAAAGTAAAATGATTATGACTTAGATGTAATATTTTACTTTAATTTTTGAAAAATCTTCCGTAACTCGAATATATCGGGCTCGAATGGCTCAAAAGTGAGTTTTTCTCTCCTCTCGATCTCTTCCCTCTCTAAACAAAATCAGCACTCTCACCTCTCTCTCACTCTCGCCTCGTCCCTCTCACCTCTCTCGCCTCATCCCTCTCACTCACTCTCGCCTCTCTCTCTCCTCTATATCTCTTCACTCTCACCTGTATCTCCGACGCCACACCGGAGCCGCTATCATCGAAAGTGTACGGGAAAGATATAAACCTTCTCGTATAATCCTGTTGATCAAGTTCGCGTTCCTCCAAACGTCGTCGCTTTACTCCCTGAAAACACAAACGTGAGCTAGCCGGCGGGTGTGTGTAAAACCCTCCGATGCCTAAGTCAGTAAAATAGATAGGTAGACAAAAAGTTCTGTGTATTCAAGAATCAAAGTTGCGTTACCTCTCCATAGATGATGTTGTGAGCTTTTATAGGTTCCGTGTGGCACAATCCAAGTAGGACTCTTACTCCTCCATGTAGAGTCCTCCTAGGATTCACACTCCTGAAAGATAATGCTTATCCTTCAACACCCCCCTCACTGCTTAAACCAAGTGAAACGGTTTTACCTCGGCAAGATGACCATACGACCAAGATAACTGTCAAATCGGCTCTTTACTTCCACACTTCTACCTCGGCTTTGCATGCCAAGACCGAGCTATTCGTAGAAGAGTTGGACCGAGCTAACCAAGAACAAAAGTCCCGAAGAAAGCTCCGTATATCTCGGCTAAAGATTACGACCGGGCCAACCAATTTGACCGTGGCGACCGAGATAACAACAAGGCCTTCTTGGACCGAGCTAATGAAAAAAGTCATTTTACTCCGCCTTTCTTACTTCGGCCCAAAGCGGCCCATTACCCAATCTCGGCCCAATTTATTCATATAAATTACCCTCTCAGAAAGGTACAGATCTGTGTTGATGATGATGATGTGTTGATTTTGATTTTTTATTTTTGGGTTTGAATCTCTGTGATTTTTGGGTTTAATTTTTGAATTTTTGGGTTTGATTTTTGATCTTCAAAAAACCAAAGGATTGTTGATTTTTGATCTATGACGTGTTGATTTTTGGATTTTTGATGATGATATATTGTTGATGCGTCTTGGATTGTTGATGATGATATGTTGTTGATGCCTCTCCCTCTCACACAGAGATGATGATACGTTGTTTTTGGATTTTTGGTTGATCTCTCTCTCTCTCTGCTCCCCTCTTCTCTTTCTTCTTCTGTGAGTTACTGCGAAAGAAAGAGAAAAGAAGAAAAAAAAAAATTAAAACAACATTGTTTTGAAATTTCGGGCCATTCGAGCCTTCAGAAATTCGAGCTACAAAACGGAACTGTTAATTTTTTAGCCTATTTTACCTTTTTAGGACTATTTTAACTAAAAAAATTCATGGCAAACCTTGAATTAGCCAATCCAATCACTCCGACATGTGCAATCATGGAATTATCCAAGATATATATATATATATATATATAAAACATCATCATCCATCATTTATTGAAGCACTAGCAATTGCACTTGTTAGCCAAAGTAATTCATCCCTTTTTTTATTATTGATTGTATTAAACAAAAAATTTTAGTAGAAAGATATTTGTAATTTTCAAAATGAAAGAACAATACGTTCGAAAAATGTATTTGTATTTTACTTTATTTTCTAGTTTGGCTTATTTTCATTTTAATGAATTTTTTTAAAATTTTAAAATTTTTAAGTTTTTTTTTTAATTTATAAAATTTGAATTATTTTCACCTATGTAGTAATTTCTTTTTTTTAAATTATCTAACTGAGACAATAGAAAGCAAAAAATATTTGACTCCAAATTTAAATAATAATAAAAGAGGTTCCGAAGAACCAAAAATAGGTCAAAAAATGAAAGTGACTTGCGGCAACTAAAATTTAGCAAACTCTTTCCAAAATTATCTAATGTTCTGGCAAAGGTATTGTCTAATTATAAGAACAAAAATGCTAAAAATTCCAAATATTTTATCAAAATTTTTATCAAAACACTCACATGAATGTAGGTCCACGCCCATACAATAAGTGTTGTAATATTAACTGTCAAAACTATAACACTTTCGCACTGTAGCCTATCTAAACTTAGCTTCTACATTGCCAACCACCACCGGAGATGCTTTCTCAAAAGCCTAAAAAGAAACTTGTAAGCTGTGATTGATTCATCAAATTGTGAAGCCAAAAAAACATGAAAGATAAAAATGATTACAGAGGTGTAAGAGTTACTATGACCATCATCATCAAGAAGGTCAAATTTGCAGCCAAGAGACGATTGAATGCTTATATGAACATTGATGTCACCACTCAAAGCAGAGCATTAGACAAGGTTCAATAGAGGAGCAGAGGAGGAAGGGCAGGGACAAAAAGAGAGACGAGGATATACAGATTTTCACAGACACAAGTTTCAACAGTCATCAAAAAGCTGCTGACCCCTTGGTGAACGTCAACAAACTAAAATTTTAACATCAACGACTTCCATTCTCCTTGCAACAAAATTGATGAGGATTGTTAGTACAACCAAAACATTAGACAGCAAAAATAAAAATAAAATAGGCAGGCCGTTGATATCAGCTTCGAACTGGTGCACGGCATTTGGAGATCCAAAAAAGCCATCAAATTCCTGCATAACCAGTGCAAATACAAAACTTCTGAACCTAACACAGTTACTTGTGCATTTTTTTCCTATCCCATGTTCATCATCATAAACTTGGAAGGGAAAAGGAAAGAAAATTAATATTCTTATGGATTTGTAAGCAAAACTGCAACTACGAACTGGAAACATTGAGTAAAGAAACACGACATACTTTTTGTCCACCCCGATAGATTTAGTCTTCCTCGAACCTAATCTTCTTCGAAGCAGGCTGGTTGCTTCCCACCTGCAAGAAAATCAAATTACAAAACAGGAAAAACAAATTCATGATAATCTGGATAAGATCCTTGGATAATCTGGATGCCTTACTGTTTATCACAAACAGAATATTTTTAAGGCTTAAATTCAACAGTTACTGACCAAGAAACCCACGGTCGTACATCTATTCAATTCAAAGTCAACCTAGACTCTAGACAATAGTCACTTGTAAATTTTCTTGTAAAAAAATGCTGGCCATGCCTCCAAATTTAAAATTAGCAGAAAAGCATAAATTACATTTAATTTGTGTAGAATGGGAGTCTGACAGCTAGGGTTCATATGACTGAATTTTTTTAAGTAGTTTCCTATATTTTTATAACAATTGCAAGAGCATTGGAGAACAAAAAGATGGCAAGATTTAGATTCTTACAATTTCAGGGCACTCATAATCAATACCAGTAGTTTCAATCTTCTTTCGCTTTTTTTGGTCACGTTTTAGGATTTCTCCCACCAACTTCTTGTGCTCTTCCAATGTTCTTTCCTAAATAATCATCACAGGTGAATGGTTACTATTTCTTCAAAAATAACCACCGGGAGATCAATACTGAAGGACAGGTTTTCTTGATTTGCCTCATAAATCCAAGAATGATTGCCAGATGTCTGTATCTATATTCACACAACTTGTTCTGTCGCTTCCTTTCAATTTGAACCCAGTCCAATGGCTTGTGCCATCGGCTAGCGCCTTTCCACCTTAAAAACCATCAACAATTCATCGGTGTCACAAAAACTAAATAACTTTATGAAAAACAATTCTATTTGTCCCCTCTATATATTTACTTGATTTGATTCCTTTTTTTTTTCCTCTTGAAACACCCAACACAACTTAGAAAATAACATGGTAATATCATATTTTTCCATACAGTAGATGATAAGTTAGAATTCATATAAGGAGGTTTCAAACAATTAAATGATAACAATCAAGAATAGATAATTGCTTACAATTTTGGATGAATACGCTCAGGAGGAATAAGGTGGACTTGCAACATGTGCTCAAACATAAGATAATTGTGCATACATTCAGATACAATTTTTGCAACCTGCACTAATTAAAACCAACAATAAGACACATTACTAAATAACAAGTATCCACATATGAATTTTTTCTTTGAGGAAAGTGCAACCTCAGGAGACTCAAATTCAATGAAGCCAAAGTGCTTCGATTTTCCTGTCTGCAAAACATCAAATCATACAAACAATAAAAAACAGTTAGCAATTAAGGGACTGAAACCAAAAGAGAGATATACCTAACATGAAACACGAGTGTTCTAGTTGCAACAATTTCAACAATAACACCATGAAAAATCAAAAGGAATTAATAATGATAATATTACTTATATTATTATTATAAAAAAGAGCAATCCTTTTTGCAATACATGGGAGACAATTTGTTTTTGTTTTTTTTCCTTTTCATGTAATAACCTCCCTTGTCATTTTGGAGTAATACCAGTAACTTCCGTTCCTTTCAAACAATTTTAAAAACAAGATAACAAATAAATATACATTTTTATGTATACATTAAAATAATGATTTTTGTCTCAATTTCTTACATTGCAAATACATTTATATTATATCGAAATAGTAAGAAAGCATTTTCTACATTGTACAATAGGCCTTAATATCTAACTAGAAAGCTCTATCTATAAACAATATGGGCTTTCTAATTCCTAAAACTAAAAATTCTAAAGGATGAGAGATTAATGGCAATAAAACCATATTGTTTTTATTTTATTATTGAATCAAAGTTATTTTCTTCAAACTGTTAACATGCTTTATTTGTGTCTAAGCCTTAGTTGAACAAAGCAGGAGCAAGAGCGGGAGCGGGGAATCTTAGACATTCCAAGAATCGTTGGTAGAGAGCGTTTGTATATATATTAAATAATATAATATATAAAAATATATTGTGCAATTATATTTTTTGTTTTTTTCTCTAATGATATATGTTATAAATTTTTTAAAAATCATAATGTCTAAAGCATGTATAGTTAAAGAATTAGAAAATAATAGAAGACTTGTGGTGAGTGTATCTGTCCAACACAATAACAAACAAACATTATATTTAGACAATCTTCAAATTTAGCTTTATATCCACAAATGCTTAGGCCTCGTTTGGGAACAGGCTAATTTAGTAACTTTTTGGCTAATTGGCTAAAAAGGTAGGTAAAAAAAACTTGTATGTTTGGGATGACTTTTTGACTAATTACGAAAAGCTGTGCAAAAAGTAGAGAGAAGCCGTAATTGTTATCTTTTTGGTATGACTAATTGGCTAATTGGCTAAAAAAGTAGCATCCCAAACGAGGCCTTAGTTAAATTTAAATAAAATAATAATAATAATAATAAAATTTAACAATAATAATTAGTAGCAATAATAGTATTAAAACCCCAACCTTCTTATTCTTCGCTAGTCTAAGGCCTCGTTTGGAGAGTGGCTATTTTAGTCAAAAAGTCAAAAAATTACTAAAAGTTGTCACATCACCTCTCTACTTTTCTGCACATCTTTACGTAAAAAATCAAAAAGTTACTAAAATAGCTTGTTTTCAAACGAGGCCTAAGTCTCTTGATGGTGCCAAACTACTTAAAAAAACCTGCACAAATATGAACAATAAAACATTTTCTGCTTTGCAATTCATACATACATTGGCGCGCGCACACACACACACACATAAACCAAACCAAACCAAGCCTTAAATCCCATCAAATGGGATCGGCTACATGAATCCTTCTTCTCCACGCGACCCTATCAAAGGCCATTTTATTAGTCAAATTAAGTAGATTCATATTTCTATTTATAACGCTATTCAACATTAATCTAAGCCTACCCCGTCCCCTAACACTTCCATCTACCGTTACAGCATCGCATCTCTTCACTACTGCCTCTGTTGGTCTCCGTTGAATATGATCAAACCATCTCAAACGATTCTCTCTCAACTTATCTTCTATCGGTGCTACTCCTACCCATTCCCGAATACACTCATTCCTAATCCTGTCCTGTCTAGTCTTACCACACATCCACCTTAGCATCCTCATCTCAGTCACACTCATCTTATCTACATGATGTTTTTAGTTGCCCAACACTCCGTCTCATACAACATAGTTGGTCTAATAGTCGTTCTATAAAACTTACCTTTTAGTCTAGTGGGTATTCGTTTATCGCACAATACCCCAGACGTACTTCTCCACTTACACCATCCCGCCTTAATCCTATGGGCCACATCTGCATCAATCTCTCCCGCTGTTGTGATAATCGACCCTAAATAATGAAAATGTTCACTCTTAGGCAGTTTTTGGTTCTCAATCTTCACTTCTCCTCCGCTTTCATTATTACTGTTACTAAATTTACACTCCACGTACTCTGTCTTAGTTCTGCTTATCCGAAATCCTTTAGATTCAAGAGCTTTTCTCCAAATCTCCAACTTTGTGTTAACTCCTTCTCTAGTCTCATCCACTAACACAATATCGTCTGCAAAAAAAATACACCATGGCACGTCATCCTGAATATTTATCGTCAACTCGTCCATAACTAAAGCAAAAAGATAAGAACTTAAGGTAGATCCTTGGTGTAACCCTACAATGATAGGAAATTCATTTGTTTCTCCAGCTAGCGATCTAATAGTGGTCACCACCCCTTCATGCATGTCCCTAATCATGTCAATGTAGCCTTTTGTCACCCTTTTCTTCTCTAACGCCCACCATATTATATCTCGGGGCACTTTGTCATATGCTTTCTCAAGGTCGATAAACACCATATGAATGTCTCTTTTCTTTTCTTTATACTTTTCTATTACTCTCTTCAAAAGATAGATCACTTCCATTGTTGACCTACCAGGCATAAACCCAAATTGATTCTCTAACACCTCTATTATGTCTCGCAATCGGCGTTCCATCACCCTCTCCCACACTTTCATTATATGACACATTAGCTTAACTCCTCTATAGTTGTTACAATTCTGGACATCACCTTTATTCTTATAGATTGGCACTAAAATACTCTTCCTCCACTCATCTAGCATGTTAAAAAAAATTGCACCTTCCATTTCATGCTCATAAAACCCGTGTGGAATTCGACCAATATAGAGCACTGTAGCTTTATTTTCCAGTGTTTCACTTTTGGGAAGCTTATGGCCAGGACCGCCCTCTAATGGCTGCCAATCACATAAAAATACATAAATCACAATGTAAAAAAATGCATATAATTTTAAGAATTATCAATAAATAATAAAGAATACCAAAAAATCAGCAGATCCATCTTTGACACCTGCAGCAGATTTTTGGGATGAACTTTTTTTTAATTTCTTCATCACCACTTTCTTTGCTTTGGCCCCCATCTCACTAACAACACAAATATAAACAATCAATTTTATTTTCCAAAAAAAGTTTAAATTAAAAGAAAGTAATGCGCAAAAGAAAATAATCAAATTCAGAAAATTAAGCAAAACATGATAAGAATGATGAAACCGAAATGCCCCAATTAGGGTTTTCGACCACCATACTCAAGATTAGTTGAACTTAATCACAATAAACATAAACCAAATCTAACCCAATTTTTTGTGAGGGTTTAATTAGGGTTTTTGCTTCTGCTAAACAGAAGCAAAAAAAAACCTGGTCATTTTGTTTATGGTTTTCTTTTCTTTTCTTTTTTTGACTTTTGTAAAAATGTTGGGGAATTCTAACATACACCCATTTAAAAAGGGGTGCAGCATACCATTTTCTTCTTTAATTATTATGACTAATTTTCTTCTTTAATTATTATGACTAATTTTCTTCTTTAGTTATGACTCATGACTTCTTTAATTATGTCTTATGTTGTGTTTAGTTAGGATATTTTTTCATTTTTTAGTTATAACTCAAAAAATGGAAATTATGTCATTTTTCTTAAGGTGCATATGGATGTGCATCATAGTGTTTCCCAAAACTGTTATTTATAGGGTAAAAACAGCATAAATAAATTTCTAAAAAAATAATTACTCTATAATTGATCAATAATTTTTTTTTTTTAAATTTCACAGATTGCACATCCAGAAGTCATAATAGTCACAAAAAGGGAACAGCCCTATAATCTAAAATGAGTTTAACGCTGTGTTTGGTTGTGTGTTTGGTTGTGAATTTAAAAAGAGAAAGGGAAAAGAAAAGTATGAATAAAATACGCTTCCATTTTCCATAGTTTAACACACTTTTTTCCACTCCTTTTCAAATCCTTCCCAAATCACTCAACCAAACCCAGCATAAAGAATCTTAAATTAGCCCATGTAATCTAATCAATTGAATCACGTATAATCTAATGAAATGCCAGCCAAACTCCTTTGTACAATGTGAATAATAGTACAATTGTTGGGCTACAATCATAAAATAAAAAATAAAAAAGTCTAGGCATATGTGTTAACCCACTAGACAACACAGACAGATTGAACTGGTAGAGAGCTGGCCAACCTCTCGTTGCCAAACATCAACAACCGCAATGTCGAGGTTCGTTCTCGGCTTCTTTCTCATCTTTCAGACTAACAATCGTTCGGATTTGGTTCGAATATATGTACTCACCAGTATTGTATTATATCTATATATATATATATATAGAGAGAGAGAGAGAGGGATAGCAGGGGGTTGGCACCACGAGTGACCGTTGAAAAAGGGAAGGGAAGGGAAGGGAGGATGGAAAAAGACTAATTGAAACATACCAAAGCTCAAGAGACGTAGAGAGAGAGAGAGAGAGAGTACCAGCGAGCGGCCGAGAGAGAGCACCGGCGATCGGCGAGAAGGGAGAAAGGAGAAAGGAGAAAGGCGAAAGGCGAAAGGCGGAAGTGAGATGAGGGAGGCGCTGCGTTGTTTTGCGGGTGAATACCTAATTAAAATTTGGGCTTTGCTTCAGACGACCCAGTGTCATGGCGTGCTGTCATTCGTTGAAAAAATAATAATAATAATTTTCCTTTTGGGCTAATCATAGATTTACACACACGACCCAGTGACCCCGTTGAGAGTCTTAGGCATTTTTCGTAAAATTTTGAATTGGTTTTCTCCTTCACCTAAATAGTCAGAAAAAGATAATATTGATTATAAAAATTAATAGGATAAAATATTATTTTTAACTTATAATTATAATCCTTTTTTCTTATAAAAATTCAAAACAAAAATCAAACAAGGTTAAAAAAGTCACAATATAAAAAAAATTAGTTATATTAATCAATGCCAAATGACTCCTTATTGGATGTGGAGGGTGAGTAGTATATACCTTTTTTTAAAAAAAAAAATAAAAATTTACTATGCTTGTTTTTTGTTTTTTAAAAATACTTTTCAGAAAATTTTACTTTATTATTTTTGTTTTTACTGATTTTTTTAATATTTTAGGCAAATTTTTAATTTTTAGACACACTTAACATAAATATACATAAAAAGTATAATTTTTGTAAATTTTTTTTTTAAAATTTACTAAATGCCACAAGTACAAAAAAAAAAGAATTCAGTATATTTTTCTTATTTTTATGTATTTATTAATTTTTTAAAATATTTTTTTACAATTTTTTTACTTTCTAGATGCATGTGCGTTTAAAAGTTAAAAAAAATGCTTAAATTTTTTAAAATATTCACTAAAAATAAAAAATACAAAAACTAAAAAACTCAATTTTTAAAAAATTCAATCCAATAAATTCAAACCAAACATACACATTGTGTTTACATAAGTGAGGAGTCGGGTCGATTTGATTGACAAGTTGACTTTTAAGACCGCCACCCAACTTCCACCCAACCCGTCCCATCAAACTCCAAATAATGGTTTGGACAGTGTTGACAATTTTAGATAATATTCTATACGATTTTATTTACGAATAATCCTTCGTAGCTCGAATCTTTCTTTCCCGAATCCCCCGATGTTTTGGGCAATCCTTCTTTTTTTTTTTTCCTCCTTATGTCTAAAACAGAGGAGAGCAAAGAGAAAAGAGAAGAAGAGGAAGAGGGAGAGAAAGAGAATGAGAGAAAGAGAAGAGAGGGGAAGAGGGAATGGAGTGAGAAAAAGGGTCGATCTGCCTCCGTCTCCGTTTTTTTTTCAGCCCGTTTTTTTGTTTTCATCGCAGCCCATTTTTTTTTTTTTTCTAGTGGATCTGGATCTGAAAATGTGTTAATGATGATGATGGTGAAATTGATGAAGATGTTGTTGTTGATGATGAAGATGTTCTGGATCTAAAGATGAATGGTTGATTTTTATTTTTATTTATATTTTTATTTTTTTCTGGATCTAAAGATGAATGGTTGTTGATGATGATGTTGATGAAGATCTGAAGATGAATGGCTTGTTGGGTGGTTGATGATGATGGTTGATGATGATGATTCTCTCTCTCTCTCTCTCTCTCTCTCTCTCTCTTTGCTACTCACCTCTTCTTCTTCTTTCTTCTTCTTCTTCTTTGTTTTTCTTCTTTTTTGATTTTTCTTCTGCCAGTTATTGGGAAAAAAAAATTCAAAATGACGAAACGACGTCGTTTTGAATTCGGGCTAAATTCGAGCTCGGCAATTTCGAGCTATGTAGCATAACTGTTTATTTACACTCATACTAATTCAATTTTCTTGTACAACACACCTAGAAATGGCAATGAGAGACGAAGGGATAGCCTTTTATTTCGCGTCCCTTAACAGGTTCTAGTTTTCCCAACCCGACCTTAATTCAATTTTCCTGTACAACACACCTAGAAATGGCAATGAGAGACGAAGGGATAGCTTTTTATTTCCTGTCCCCTAACGGGTTCTAGTTTTCCCAACCCAACCTTAAGGATCAATATAGAATTAGATCACTAAAATTTCCCCCACAAGCATCAATAAAATAAATTTAAAAAATATTTTAAAAATTGATATATGTATTATAAATATTGAATTCTTATGAAACCACGAACCCAACTTTTGAAACCAAATTAACTCTGAAAATCACAGTAATATATGTAGAGATGAATCACATGTTATAGAGAGATGAAACAATTAGGGGTGTAATTTTGGTCCGACCCGGCCTGGCCTGAGTCAATCACCACTCGGTCACGTGGGCTCTTGTTTTTTTTTTTTTCGAGCTGATTTGCAGGCAGAAAAGTGGGGGCCAAGCCCACTCAGATTAGGGCCTAAGCCATAAGCCAGCCTGATGGGCCTTTTTTTTGTAAAAAATAAACGATAAATATATTATATATAGAGATTATTTATGAAGAATAAAAAATTTATACTAGAATATTTTAGTTAAGATTAATGAGATATTTGGTTATATTTCATGTAGTGGTATAAATTTAATTATGTATGATTTATGTTTTTTTGGTTATGACTAAAAAAATATGAAATTATGTTATTTTCTTCTTTGGAAATGAATAATTTTATATATATCAAAATGAAACTTTCAATATTACAATCATTAAATTAAATAGATAACATTTATTGAATGAATAATTTTTATTTCAAAAAAATGAAATAAAATAGATCTAGATTATTGATGATAGTAGAACAATTGCATCACTATAAATCAAATACATTTCAACTACGATAACACCTACTAGCCTTTTTTTTTCCTCCCTATGTCTAAAACAGAGGAGAGCAAAGAGAAGAGAGAATAAGAGGAAGAGGGAGAGAAAGAGAATGAGAGAGACAGAAGAAAGGGGAAGAGGGAATGGAGAGAGAAAAAGGGTCGATCTGCCTCCGTCTCCTTTTTTTTTTCAGCCCATTTTTTTGTTTTCATCGCAGCCCATATTTTTTTTTTTCTAGTGAATCTGGATCTGAAAATGTGTCAATGATGATGATGGTGATGTTGATGAAGATGTAGTTGTTGATGATGAAGATGTTCTGGATCTAAAGATGAATGGTTGATTTTTATTTTTATTTTTATTTTTTTTTCTGGATCTAAAGATGAATGGTTGTTGATGATGATGTTGATGAAGATCTGAAGATGAATGGCTTGTTGGGTGGTTGATGATGATGGTTGATGATGATGATTCTCTCTCTCTCTTTGCTACTCTCCTCTTCTTTTTCTTCTTTGTTTTTCTTCTTTTTTGATTTTTCTTCTGCCAATTATTGGGGAAAAAAAAAATTCAAAATGACGAAACGACGTCGTTTTGAATTCAGGCTAAATTCGAGCTCGGCAATTTCGAGCTATGTAGCATAACTGTTTATTTACACTCATACTAATTCAATTTTCTTGTACAACACACCTAGAAATGGCAATGAGAGATGAAGGGATAGCTTTTTATTTCGCGTCCCTTAACAGGTTCTAGTTTTCCCAACCCGCCCTTAATTCAATTTTCCTGTACAACACACCTAGAAATGGCAATGAGAGACGAAGGGATAGCTTTTTATTTCTTGTCCCCTAACGGGTTCTAGTTTTCCCAACCCGACCTTAAGGATCAATATAGAATTAGATCACTCAAATTTCCCCCACAAGCATCAATAAAATAAATTAAAAAAATATTTTAAAAATTGATATATGTATTATAAATATTGAATTCTTATGAAACCACGATCCCAACTCTTGAAACCAAATTAACTCTGAAAATCACACTAATGTATGTAGAGATGAATCACATGTTATAGAGAGATGAAACAATTAGGGGTGTAATTTTGGTCCGACCCGGCCTGGCCTGAGTCAATCGCCACTCGGTCGCGTGGGCTCTTGTTTTTTTTTTTTCGGGCTGGTTTGCAGGCAGAAAAGTGGGGGCCAAGCCCACTCAGATTAGGGCCTAAGCCATAAGCCAGCCTGATGGGCCTTTTTTTTGTAAAAAATAAACGATAAATATATTATATATAGAGATTATTTATGAAGAATAAAAAATTTATACTAGAATATTTTAGTTAAGATTAATGAGATATTTGGTTATATTTCATGTAGTGGTATAAATTTAATTATGTATGATTTATGTTTTTTTGGTTATGACTAAAAAAATATGAAATTATGTTATTTTCTTCTTTGGAAATGAATAATTTTATATATATCAAAATGAAACTTTCAATATTACAATCATTAAATTAAATAGATAACATTTATTGAATGAATAATTTTTTTTTCAAAAAAATGAAATAAAATAGATCTAGATTATTGATGATAGTAGAACAATTGCATCACTATAAATCAAATACATTTCAACTACGTTAACACCTACTAGCCTACAAATTATCTGCATTATACTCCACCTCAATAATTTAATACAAAAAAATAACAAAATGAAATCGTGAAAAATAAATTGTTGATTAATTATCGGAGGAACCAGACAATTCATTCCCGTTGCCCAAGGATATGTCATCCAAATCGCTTTGAATTCTCTCTTTTTCACTATAATTTTGTCTTCTCATAAGCGTATGTATATAATCTTTGGATATCATCAGTGCCTCAACCATTTGGAGCGAAAACTTGTTGCGATAATCACTTAACAACCATCCACCTGCACTAAAAGCTGTTTTAGAAGCAACTATAGAAATAGAAACAGTTAGTAGATCACAAGCCATTTGTGAAAGCACATGCTACATATGTTCATTTTGTTTCTACCAATCTAAAATATCAAAATTTTCAGTATCATCTACTAGTGAGCTATCCAAATAACGTTGAAATTCAAAACTACTTAGGTATGTTGAGATATTCTTCTAGTTTTTATTACTGAAAAAACACTTA